CTCCACAAATATCACCATCCTCAATGATGGAAAAGCCCAGCACACCAGTGCAAAAGATAAGGCAGAAGCATTTGCAACAATTTCTGTCTGAGGTCTTCAGGGTGGCCAGGGAGTAATTCTCCCACAGGACTCGCAGCGAGAAGTATCAGATGTCTGCACTTCAGTGTGGATATCTCCACTGAAATCTGCCACCAGCCATGGATACCAATGTAGCATTAAACCAGAGCAAGGACTGGTTTGCTAGTGACTGTGATGTAACTGTGGTGGTGCATCTTTATATGCCTAACTCTTTCCACTTTGGAGTTACAGATATTAATAACATCAGAAACTGCTGGAGAAACTCAGCGGATCTGTGGAGAGAAAGCAGAGTTAATATTTTGGGTCCAATGACCCTTTTTGAAAGCTAGTTCTGAAGAAAGGATCTATTGACCTAAAGCATAGACTTTGCTATCTCTCTGCAGATGCTGCCAGATCAGCTGAGTTTCTCCAGCAATTTCTGTTTTGGTTTCAGATTTCCAGCATCTACAGTTCTCTATTTAATATTTAAAATGTTTCAAACTTGTCTTACAGGATTGCGTAAGGGACTAAAGGGAGCCTCCTTATTTGAAGGGACCTTCTTCTAATTCATACTTAAAGGAGCAAATGGAGTGTTCTGGGATTGCAGTATATCTTTGGTGCAAGATGCTGTTGATGGAACTGTTCTGAAAAAGGGGCAGTGGACTTGAAACAATAACTCTATTTTCTCTTTACAGCTGAAGCCAAGACCTGCTGAATTTCTCCAGCACTCTCTGTTTTTGTTTCAGATTTCCAGCATCCACAGTTCGCTGTGTTTATGATTAATTCACTTCCATATGTCTTGAAGAAGTTCTGCTCTGCTCTCTGAGAGAGGGTTTCCATTTGAATCTTTCTTCTCGTTCACTGTCATTACTTTGGTTTTCCCTCTTAATGGTTGACAAGGCATTCTCCAGTTCTGATGAAGGATCATTGGACTTGAAGGCTAAATTCTGTTTCTCTCTTTACGGGTGCTGCTAGGGACCTGCTGAGTTTCTCCAGCATCTCTGTGTTTGTTTCAATCTGCTGAAGGTGTGGTTTAACGGTCTGGTACAGATTCCATACTCTGCTCTGCAGCCATACACTGAAAACTTTGTTGTTATTCAAAATACGCTTGAGCAGACCATCAGCTGAGATAACATTTCTCCTGCTGGACTACTATGGGGGTGCTCTGAAATATTTGGTAAAATGAGCATCACGTGGTTTTTGTATATTCAGTTGGATAAGGGGTTAACCTTGCCACGAGTGAAACACCAAGCAACTGAATATCAAGCAAAAACATGAGAAAGACAAGATGAGAAGAAGAAGAAGAAACAGACCTAGGAAGAGAAAGAAGAGGGTGGAGCCCTCTTTTTCTGGGCTTATCCAAAATAAAGACTCTCAATACCCCATCCACCAATAATTCCAAACCTTATCTATCCTCTGTCCTTCACTGTCTCTATGTATGGTGAGCTGCAGTTACAAAAGCCACTTCAAAATAATCATTGAAAACCAAATTTTTACATCATGCCATATTTTGCATAACACCCAACTTAAGACCCACTGACTGCATGTGACTTTACCTTTTTCCGTCTCTCCAATACAATGCAGCACTAGGGGCGGCACGGTGGCTCAGTGGTTAGCACTGCTGCCTCACAGTGCCAGGGACCTGGGTTTGACTGTCTGTGTGGAATTTGCATATTCTTCTCGTGCCTGCATGGGTTTTATCTGGGCGCTCCAGTTTCCTGCCACAGTCTAAAGATGTGCAGGTTAGGTGGATTGGCCATGACAAATTGCCCGTAGTGCCCAGGGATGTTTGGGTTAGGCATGGGAAATGTAGGGGTAGGGGGATGGGTCTGGGTGGGATGCTTTTCAGAGGGGTGGTGTGGACTTGCTGAGCAGAATGGCCTGTTTCCACACTGTAGGGGTTTTATGGTACCACAGTCTGCTGCAAGTTTGATGGAAGGCTGTTTACTTTCAGGCCTTGGAGGAACACCATGAGCAGTTCCGCATCTAGAAGGCCCACTGCAGAACCACAGAGTGCATTGTTCCTTTAAGAAATGCAGATTGGCTTTAAGTGGTACTGAACACTCATGATATTGGCTCCTGCTGAGGCATCTGAAGCAATGTGCAGCAAGGTTAGCACTGGCTGGATGCAAAAATCTTTCAAATGAGCTTGTAGCATGAAGTTGGGGTGTTGTCTGTCTTTGCAACTCCTGCTACTGCTTTTGTGTATTATCCAATTTAGACCCTTCACTATCGCAGGCTTAGACTAGTGGAGGAGAGTGAAGTGTGAAAGCTTAGTAAGGAAGAACAGGATTGCTTAAGTTATGCAATGACTTAAGAATGAAAAGTTTCATTTATGAAGATTGGTTAGAAGAATATAGAGTTACATTGAGTTTTTATGTTCTCAAACCCGTGTCCTTACTTACACTCCCTGCCCTTTTGGCATTCCCTCGCATGCGATTCCACATTTTACCAAATGCTCTGACTTTCCTGCCAAGAGTTCTTGATATCTGGTTTGTTTCGAGCGTTTGGTAAAATAAGAAGCTGATTCTTAATGAGGCAAGTTTTGGTGTTAATAAGGTGTTTGAAAATCTATAATCCTCCTTAACTGGCAACTCGCCACTGCCTGATGATAGTCTCACATCACCACCCAGTAAGTGCATAAAAGACGAAAACATGTTGCTCCTGTTGTCGATAGGTCTCAGTAGGCGTCTTGTCTGATCCCACCACAATCTTGGCAAAGCCCACGCCATTCAGGCCCCTTTAAGATTCTGCACTGAAACTCTCTTCAGTGGAAAATTGATAGAAGTATTCAAAATCATGTGGGATATATATCGGGTGGATAGGGACAAATTGTTCCCACTCAAGAATGAGCCAAAGGCAAGAGGGAGCAGTTTTAAAGTAATTGGCAAAAGAAGCAAAAGCAACATGCAAAATAGTCATGAGATAACAAGGTGTAGAGCTGGATGAACACAGCAGGCCAAACAGCATCAGAGGAGCAGGAAAGCTGACGTTTCTGGCCTAGACCCTTCTTCAGAAAAGTTTTCAATGCAAAATAGTCATCAGGCGATGAGTGGTCAGAGGGTGGAATACATGTGCCTGAGAATGTGGTGGCAGCAGGTTCATCAAACAATTACAAAGGGAATTAGATTGTTATCTGAGGATGAAGATTGTGCAGGGTTATGGGAGAAGGCTGGAGAATGGAACAAAGTGAATTGCTCATTCAGAGAGCCATTGCAGGCACAGTGGATCAAATGGCTTCCCTCAATGCGGTAACAGTTCTATGAGTCTGAATGCAATGTTTTTGCTGAACTTTGATTCTGAGGCACCAAGATCCGTACTGGTCTTAAATCTCAACACTATTGCTACAAAACTACGTTAAATATTATGAAGTTGCTATTTATACTCTGTTGTATATTTTCTATTAAATTTAAATTCTATGCTAAATTATTTAAATCGTACCACATCTGGGGGTTTTAAGGTCCCTTATTATGCAAAACATCAAAGAAAATTTGACTGGGACCAAGGATATTAATAGGGAATTATTTGCATAGTTAGATTGCATGGTTATTTGCATGGTTAGATTGTTGCTTGAAATGCTATCTTCAAACTTTTAACTCTTCAATTCCTTCACGCAATTTTGTTTTGGTGATATTATGCATTCTCTGATTAAAGCAACCCTGGTTTAGAAGGTATAGTATTGTCTGACAGCTATGCAAACTGACAACCATCTCAACAGCACTTAGACACAACACCCTCTATATTCCACTCTTCATCCTGGAACAGATGGCAAGTAACTGACTGAGCAAGTGCAGGGTCACCAATAAGCTAGACCTGAAGATTTCTGTTTAATTCTTGATGGGAGAGAGAGCGGTTGCTAATATACAGCAATTTGGGGTATAATTACTGTGCCATACATTCTATGTTATCTGGGCAGATTTAATATGCAATTGCCCAATATTTGGGAGAGTGAAATGCAAAAGAAAAAGAGGCTTGCATTTATATAGCACACATCACAGCCTCACACTTCTCAGTGTGCTCTACAACCAATGAAGTACTTTTCTTTTTTGTTGCAAGGATACACACCAATACAACCAGATCTAATAAACAACAATGTGACCAAACAATCTGTTTAAGAGATGTTGCTGGAGAAAGTTCTCTTGCTGGTCTTCGATGTAGTACCAGACAATCCTTTACACCGACTTGAGCTGACGTAAATGACCCTCTGTTTAAAAGTACAATCCAGTACCTCAGACAGAAGTGGTAAGGGTCAGTGAAGAGGTAGTAGAGTGGATCTTGAAGGATCCCATTGAGTAACCTAAACACATATCCTAGACTTCTGGTTACTGCACCTCAATCAACTCAATGGTGGAAACATCTAATTGCTAATCCACATAATTTTTTTTCTGAACTCCAAAGTTTTGTTTTCAAAATTTCTTAAAAGTCATGCTCACCCTTCTTCCTCAGGGAATGAAGGGGCCTTTTACGGAAAAAATAAAATTATGAAGGGAATAGATAAAATAGAAGCAGGCAGGCTGTTTCCACTGGTGGGTGATATTAGAACAAGAGGGCGGAGCTGCAAAATAAGGGAGAGCAGATTTAGGATTGAGTTGAGAAGGAACTTCTTCGTCCAAAGTATTGTGAATCTGTGGAATTCCCTGCTCAGTGAAGCAGTTGAGGCTGCCTCGTTGAATGTTTTTAAGACAAAGCTAGATAGGTTTTGTATATGGTGAGTGGGTGGGCAAATGGAACTGAGTGCACGAAGAGAACAGTCCTGATCTTATTGAATGGCAGGGCAGGCTCGATGGGCCAGATGGCCTATTTCTTATGTTCTTATGTCAATGCTAGTAAATTGTCCTAGATCCCCAGCTCAATTTTTTCATATCTCAGAGATGAAGTACAGTTTTTCTGACTGCACCATTGAATAATTTAAACACACAGAAAAAACTGATTGCATACTTATATAAATCAAGTTAAACTTTTATTAAAGAAAGTAACATTACTTTTGTAAATAATTTCAGTGTATTTATAAACAGCTCAGCACATTTCTAAACAATGATTTTCTACCTAGGCATTATCTTTGGACACCATACTAGTGAAAACATACTTCATTTTAGGGCATTATCAGGCTTGCAGGCTAGTGCTTGCAGGTCTTCATAAAATGGACAGTGATTCAAAAGACTTTTGCCTTTGGTATCATGTCTGAATTGTCTGGAAATGTGCAAGTTACTTCTTATATAAAATACCAACAGAGGGTCAATAAATGTTTAATTAAAGTAAAACAATTGAATGGAGGTATGAAGTGAGGTTAAATATATAAATGTGAAACCAAAACAATAATTAATAAATAAGAATTGGGATCAATTACTCTTTTGGTGATTGAAAACCATCTAATTCTAGAATCAGGGAATAAAGTGTGAGAATTATTACTTTGAATAATTGTATGTAGGATGATGGTTTCATAACTATGGTGAATGATTAGACTGGAGGTTATAAAGAACAACATTATCAGATGAACTTTTATCCCATAGGTATCAAAATCTTCTCTGCACTATTTTAACGGTGCCATGAACCCACTTGAACTAAGTGGACTGAGAACTGACTTAAAGTAACAAATGGTGGAATTTAGTAAGCATATGTTAAATCTTTAGAACATAGAACATAGAACATTACAGCGCAGCACAGGCCTTTTGGCCCTCGATGTTGTGCCGACCTGTGAAACCAATCTGAAACCCATCTAACCTAAATTATTCCATTATCATCCATATGTTTATCCAGTGACCATTTAAATGCCCTTAAAGTTGGCGAGTCTACTACTTTTGCAGGCAGGGCATTCCACGCCCTTACTACTCTCTGAGTAACGAACCTACCTCTGACATCTGTCCTATATCTATCACCCCTCAATTTAAAGCTATTTCCCCTCGTGCTAGTCACCACCATCCGAGGAAAAAGGCTCCCATTGTCCACCCTATCTAATCCTCTGATCATCTTGTATGTCTCTATTAAGCCACCTCTTAACCTTCTTCTCTCTAACGTACAGTGATTTGATTTTTAAGCTTACACTACTAGTGAAACCATGCTTCACCAAGCACAATATGAGCAGGTCCACTAAACAAGTTGGCTTCTGGCACTTATCTAAAAGATTTGTACTTTAGAATATGTACGATTAAGTGGAACATGATGAAAGTAAACGATTGTCCATTGCACAGTTTTTGGATTTTCTTTTCCTGAGATTTTCATGTGATATTTTACTTGTCAGGAAACAAAATTGTGCTGTACCTTTATTGAACATTTTGATGAATTTTGAGGCTCATATTTGAAAAATGGGTAGAAGTGAAATGATCATTATTGATACCCACTAAATAACAGTGACATTACAATTATAAATCCCATCCATGTAATCTATTGACATTATGAAGCTATCTGATAGGCTATAGAACATTATTGCATTGTGAACCCAATAGACATTTGTTAATAATCTGCAGGATGGAATAAGATCCTAAAGAAATTGAAACCAATTACTTGCTTATCTTAGAATTGTAAATATTCCATTGTTGCGACATTTGTCTAGATAGTTGGTCAAGGCTTTCAGTGCAACTGATTGTCAAAGCTACATTACAGAAAGCAATTGAACAATGAAGGTGCTGAATATTCAATTTCTGACATGGTAGGCACAAAAGCCTAGAAATACAAAAGAAAATGCAATAAAAAAGAATCAGAAAAAATTAACAATTTAATAATGAATGAAAACGGACAAAAACCTAAAGATTATTAGTCAACTCATTATAATTTTGAAGAACTGGCCATGTATTCTAAACAGGTTTATATTTCCAATAGAATTCATCTCTATATAGAACAAGAGTACTTTTCACACCCTTGCACAGAAGTATAGTAAAGAGTAGAAGGTGAGTTACTAAACTTAATTGATTCAGAGACAACAAGGTGCAGGGCTGGATGAACACAGCAGGCCAAGCAGCATCATAGGAGCAGAGAGGCTGACATTTCGGGCCTAGACCCTTCAGGCTTGCCTGGAATTTGGATAGTGAGAAACAAAGGACAATATTTGGGATTGCAGCAAATATTCAAACTTCTTTTTATTAAAGAAAGCAGGTGTCCCCACAAAATATATTTCCCAATTTTGATTGATCAAGATTGATACTGCAAAGATAAAAGCTTCAGTATTTTTATATAGAAAGAGGACTTAGAATGGATTGACAGTCTTTCTGGGTGCAATGTAATTGATATGCCATAATGTTAGGAATTGTGAAGGTCAGCATTTCAAACCTTTTATGACAGCAATTCTCGCACTATACCAAAGAGCAAGAGCATGCTAACAATCCCACTCAGTGGCTTGAAGGTAATGACACCTGCTGAATTATTGGCAGTTGTTATAGTTGTGGTCATGTTGTATGGAGTTGTGGTCATGTTGTATGGAGTTGTGGTCATGTTGTATGAAGTTGTGGTCATGTACACAGTTGTAGTTTTATTGTACGCAGTCGTGGTCTTGTTGTACACAGCTGTAGTTTGCGTATTTGATACAGCAGTGGTTGTAAGAGCTGTGAAAAAAGATCATATTTACCAAATTAGTAAAGCATGTGGAAGCATGGGCTTCACAGATAGAAGCATTGAGTACACAAAACAATGGATCTATATTGAATCTTACGTAAAGCTCAGCTCAGACCGAAACAAAAACACTGCTTCTAGCTCTGGTCATCACCTTTGAGGAAAGATGTGAAAATCCTTCCAGATTTACTGGAAGGTTTTCAGAGCTGAGATGTTTTAGTTACTAGGTTAAGTCAGAAAACCTGATGTTGTTCTTCTTGGGCCAAAGGAGATCAAGGGGAAATTTGATACAGTGTTTTAAATTTATGGCAGCTAGATAACGTAGGCAAGGAAGTATTCTTCTTATTAGGTGATGATACTAAGGGACAAAGATTTAAGATTTAGGGCTAGAGATGCAGAGGATGTGAGGAAGAAATTTTTAAAGCAGCAATTATTGTTGCTGGAATCTACTGTCCTGAGGGTTGTGGAAACAGAAACGGTGAATGCTTTCAAGATGAAACTGGATGGTCAATAGAAGGAAATATACTTAGTATGGGGCTATGAGGAGAGCCCAAACTGCCTCCTGTACTGTAAATTAATTCAATGACTCATCATATTTCCTCAGGAAATTGGTTACATTGAATAGGTCAACAACTTTAAATGTTTGCCATGAGGACACTTTTCAGTCTGAACAGGTTTCAAATGTGCACATTTGGTTTATCACACTTGCAGCATATAATTGTCTTCCTAAATACAATCAAGGATTTACCCAGATTCATATCCATTGATAAATATACTCTGAATTCAAACAATTGCTGCTTTTTTGTAAATACTCTCAAAATCTTGAGCTACATATATCAGCCAGAGTTCCTCCTTTTCATTACTTTAGCTCATCTTAAAATGTTCTAAGGTACAATTGCACAGGCCCGAAAATCTCTCTGCTATCTTATTTAATCAGAATTAAGTGAGATATAGAAAGTTATAAATGCAGGGTATGACAGACAAATAAAACATTCTGTTTCATTTGAACACCTTCCAGATTTTTGGAACAATTTTCAGAACAAAAGAACAGATTGATTGTAATTTTTAAAATTTAATTTATTTTTCTAATCAACCTGTTCAGCCATGTTATTACACACCTCTGGAGCAGGTGGGACTTGAACCAGTGCCTCCTGGCCCAGGGGTATGGACACTACCACAGGACCACAAAAGGACCTTTGTCCACTGTACTTGGCATTCACAGGTGGTCTCTCACCCAAGTACTAACCAGGTCAGAGTTTGCTTAGTTTCCACGATCAAATGAAATCAGAGGTTTTCAGACTATAGGGGTAGAGGTAAAGAGTACTGACTAACTGAGTTTTTGGGCTGTTAACAGGCTAATTGTACCTTTCATAAATAGTTTGTGCCAGCTGAGAATAGTTCAGGAATGGAACTCCTTTGGTTCATATGCTTTGTTATTACCATACCCAATTACTGATTAGGTTATTATTAGGTCGTTTGGGAGTTGGAGTAGGTTGAATTCAAGACATTTCCTTAAGTGTTCATACCGAACAAGTAATACAGATGAGGAAAGCTGAAAAATCATCAGAATCAAAAAAAATTATAGAAAAGCTCTTTGTTATAAATGTCTATCCATTATTAAACATCAAAATAAATCTTACCTATTCTGAGAGTTTTGTTCATGACGTATGTTTTGTTTTCAGACATTTTGACAAAGGCTCTGGATGAAAGATGGGAAAAAAAAATAAATGCCACACATTCTTATTTATAATTATATGTCAAGAAATATTTTAAATTAAATCAATATTTACTCAGGCAATTATCTGATACTGGAAAAATCCGGAAAGTCCTCTAAAATTATTTATACATCAATGGAAATCAAAAACAACTTGATAGATTTATTTGCAAACGCAAAATTTGACTTTTCCACATTCTAATTATTTGTGAGGCGTTTGTCCTTTGACAAATGAGGATTATCCTAAAGGACAAAAGTTCATTTCTTTATCTTCAATGGCAATCAAAGTTTTCTCACTGTGACGTTTAACAGTAAATTAAGTAGCTACTGATATATTGTAACATGGATCTGTATGCAGCCGATTTCCTTAATTCAATTCATAGTAAAGGTCTTGTATTTGTATTTTGCCTTTCACAACTACAAGTTTTATAGACAATGAAATACTTTTGAAGTATTGTTCAATCCCAAAATGGGACAGCAAATCTTTTGGCATAAGAAGTGCTGAGAACACGCACAGTCAAATTTGTCTTGTCTTTGGTTCACTATTCAATGTGGGTTTGGAAGGGATGAGTAGTGGGTGAAGTATGGTTAATGGTTCCAGCTGACCTTTCCCGTATTTTGTTTATTTCCAGTGGCTTTTCCATATATTCTATATCGGCCCAAAGTAGTGTCATTGATATGATGCATTTTCAAAGGTTAAGTTACATCAACGCAGAGATTGAAGGATATTTATTTGCTTAGTAATTGCAGCCATTGTAATGATTTGTGAAAGATAAATGGATAATTGTACTTTAACAGACTCCCCACCTTGCTGATTTATAATGACTCTTGGTTAATCAACACCTCAATTTTAAAATTCTAATCCTTGTTTGTAAATGCTTCCATGGCCTTGATGCTACCTATTTCTGTAGTTTCCTCCACCAACCCTCTTAAGATACTTGTGCTGCTTTAATACTGGTCACTTCAGCATTTAATTTCTCCAACATTGATGACCCTGAACATAGAGATCCAATACTAAGCGTCTCCACCTCACTACCTCCCTTTGACTGAGTTTTTGATGATCTAACCTAATATCTCCCTATGTGACTTGTTTTCAGATTTTGCTTGAATAACTGTACTGGATTAACATCAATTAAATTGTATATGTACTACTCCAGATGCCAGATGTAAAAGAGCGAATCAGGATGTATTGCATTTTGCACACGTGAAACATCCATGGCATATGATCATTTCTTTGTATGATAGTTATGTATTATATATGCAGCACTCATGCCAGTAACAGCATCAGCACACTGAGCAAACATCAAGGAAAACCGAAAGAACTGTGGATGCTGTAAATCAGGAACAAAAACAGAAGTTGCTGGAAAAGCTCAGCAGGTCTGGCAGCATCTGTGAAGAAAAAAATCAGAATCCTCAGAACCATTCAGGTCACTGGACCTGAAATGTTAACTCTGATTTTTTTCTTCACAGATGCTGCCAGATCTGCTGAGCTTTTCCAGCAACTTCTGTTTTTTACCAAACATCAAGGAGAAGCAGCTTATATGAATCTATGACAGAAACAAAATGAACCCTTACTTGAATAAAACATTGCTATGCATGTTCATCATGCTTTTGGGTGACATCCACCCTTCAGTGGTTGGGAGTTTCCCTCTGCCATAAATTCCTGCACAGTTTTCAGTATTATTTGTCCAGTTCCCAATACTGCTGCCATTATAGGAAGCTGAGAGAGTTACAATTACATTGGCTCCAGTTCCATTCACGGTAACTGGAAACAGAAAGTAAACACATTGTGTTATTACTTGCATGGAATACAACAAACGAAAATGTATCTATTTAGTTTTACTTAGGAGTGAAGCCATTTTGTTGAAATTTGGAAGAAATGCGAACTTCATTTGTGTTGCTCGTGTAAGTGTCAGTATCAACACTACATTGCAGTGTTGGGATGTGGCCTGGTACAGAAAGATAGCAGAATTTTCTCTTACAATTTTCTTCAGTAAGCTACAGAATTCAGCTGGAGACTTTACTGCTCAGGAAAACAATAGCATGACAAGGGCCTGGGTGTAACTACCTGTTTTGAAAATACTAAGTCACGCTATTTTTGTTGATGCTGATTGATTTGCTGAATATTTTCTGTCATTTCCTGTTGTGTAAGATACAAGTGAGGCAACTTTCTTGCTACCAGCAACTCAAACAAAAGTGGGCGGCATGCTTATCATTTCCCAATATGTGCTGGTGGGAGCCAGAATTTCCTCCACTGCATAGATTTTGACTTTTACTTGCTATAAAAGTCATGAACTAGGCTAGCTGTAGGATAAAATAGGGAATAAGACCAATGAGAAGCTTAATAGTTATAATTTCTTAGAAATCTCTTATTTCGCTATAAATCTTGACTACATAGCTGATCTTCCTTTCAGAGGGAACTCTTAACTAAACATTGTCAGATAGTCAGCTCAGTGATAGCACATTGCCTCAAAAATGTATGGCATGTAGTATGGTTTGTGTGTGCACAGTGTTTACTACTAAATACAAATACTTATCATATAAAACATTCCTAGCATGTCTTTTCTCTTCAAATACTAATGTAATGAATTGGTATCTCTAACAATGACAATTTTTATTTTTAGGCCCATCATAGAATCCCCACAATGTGGAAGCAAGCCACTTGATCCATTGAGTCCACACCAACCCTCTGAAGAGCATCCCACCCAGAGCCACCTCCCTTTCCTAGCCCTGTAACCCTGCATTTCCCATGGCTACTCTGCCTAATTGGCAGATCTTTGAACTTGGGGAGGAAACCAGAGCACTCAGAGGAAACCCAGGGAGACACAGGGAGAATGTACAAACTCCACACATCTGAGTGTGGAATTGAACTTGTGTCCCTGATACTGTGAAGCAGCAGTGCTAACTTCTGAACCACAGTGGCACCCTAAAAGTAAAAGATGCTTGGAATTGGAGTTTTGTTTTACATTTTAACTTTACAGGTTTTGTGATTTTGACTTCTCATCACCAAAGGCAAGATGCCAATACTGAGAAATACTTGTTCCAAATTTGTATGTTTGTACGAAAAGTACTTTGCAGCAAAGTGTGCAGCATTTCCTACCACCCAATCCCTTACTGAATCACTGGCTGATGCTGGCACTTCAATGTTTTAAGTTTTCTTCTGACTTCATTCTTACTAGGAACTGGATTGGGGGTGCTCGCTCCCAGTTGAAAAAGAACCGTGCAGCTATCACTCAAGGAATGCTTTCACGTTGTCAACCAGAGGAGAATCCAAATGCAGAACAGAAAAAGGATAACATCATTCACTCAGCTTTTTTTTCCCTATTCCTCAGGTTAAGACTTCTGCTTTGCCTATCTCCATTCTTGACTGAAACACAATTGTTGGCACTGTAGAAGAATGACCATGTTCGGTGGTGGTGACTGTCATTTGTATTGTGCCAGTAACATGTAGAACCACATTAACATTTGCCACTTTGACCCATTGAGAGCAAACATTAAAATGCAACAAAAGACATAAAACTGTCAGTCTCTTTGAAGAGCCACATATCTTTAGCTAGTGAGGGCTTAATACTTTGTCTTGTTATCGTAGTGCTTATCTGACATGTGGCATAAGGCGCATGTTGGGCAGAGGTAAAGTGAGCTTTTCTCAGTATCGATGTTGTTAACCTGGAGTGTTCAGTGCAGCAAGCTAAGCTTGAACAACATTTCATTCCCCATTGCTAGTGTTCCTCGCTATAGGGAGTGCAACTTGTAAGTTTATTTCAAAATACTTAAATCAATGGAACCTGTACTGAGAAATAGAGGACACAGGTTGATAGATGCAGAAATGAACTCATTGGAATTTTTTACTTGTTGTGAATCGAATACCACGTGGGGAGCACTTACTTTCTTTTTCAAGCCCCATCTCAAATAATCTTTTTCATGCAGCTAATATATGTTCCAGTCAACTATGGAAGATAATTTGCAAATTAGTGTTGAGATGTGGGAAATTTTATCAACTATACTCACAGTCATAGTTTCCCTAAACTAGATCCACCCTTCCAAATTACAGACATAATGTGACTCTTTAAAATGTCTGTTCTTGGATTTTCTACTATTAAATCCCATATACCTTTCAAAAAAAACTTTGAAATGAACCTTTTATACTCGCTGTTAAATAAGTTTTTTCTATTATCTTGTACAAATAATTTTAGTTTCCACTGCAAACACAGAGCAAGAACACCTTGCTCAAGATTATTTGTTGTAGCTCAGGTGACTGAAATATCGTGTTTAAAAGGTTTCATTAATTTCAACCTTTCCAAAGCTTGCAGGACTAATGCTGTGCTATTTTAAACCAGTGCCTTAGTTTCCTGATCCAATTCCAGGGCAACACGATGAATATAGTTCTTTCCTCTATGACCTCAAAATGAGCAGCATGTGTTCTCCTGCATATGCCCACTGTCACATCAATGCACCCAAATTTGCATTTGTGGGAGTCTTCAAATCCTCATTTAGTGAATTATGTGCAAGTTTCCATGTATATGTCATAATTTATCTATTTTTATGTTTTCGCCTCCACACAAAACTACATGTCAACTACTTTCCTGCCTGGCTCCTTGTCCAACATCAAGTTATTAAAGATGTCATGAATTTTGCAAGGTTTGCAAGACGAACTTCATCTGCTTTCATCAGAAATTTGGAATATTTCCCTATGTCATCCAGCTCCCCACTTAAGATGGTGCTGAGTATTGTGAGTTAGAATCTGTTGACTCTCAACTGAGCTTCCAACTCTGCATCCAGCCAATCTCCTAGACAACAACAGCATTGCACACAGAGTGTCTCACAAAGAGATAAGGAAAATGGGCACTTGTCCAAAAATGTAAAAGACTAGAAGGTATGGACTAAAGCTCAATCAAGGAGGTAGCTTTTCTAGAAAAGAACGCAAAACTAAAGAGAAGAGTTTCCAAATTGTAGAATCTAGTCAGTTGAAGAAACAGAAATCTATTTCCACTTCTACAACATTGCCCAGCTCCAGCATGTCTTCATCTTAATTTTTATCTTTGCCAACTTCTACTGCAGAGACCTGGTAGTGCAGAGGTAATGTCAGCGGACTAGTGATCCAGAACTCCAGGCTAAACATTCTGAGGACACGGGTGCCAAATCCAGTATTGCAGATGTTGAAGTTTGAATTCAATAACAATCTAGATTAAAAAACTAACCTAAAGGTGACAGTGCAAACAAAGTAAAGAAGCCTGCCAATTCTTATGTGCACTGGCCTACGCGTGACACCTGACCCACTGGAATGTGATCAACTCCTGACTGTCCTCTGAGCAATTAGGGATAGGGAATAAAAGCCGGCTAAGCCTGTGAAATCTGCACCTGCCGAATGAATTAAAAAAAAACTACTTCCACAGTTGTACGAAGACTAGTCTGCTCATAGAACAAAATACTGTGAATGCTGGAGAAATTGGACTGTATCTGTGGACTGAGGAAGAGAGGTAACATAGAACATAGAACAGTACAGCACAGTACAGGCCCTTCGGCCCACGATGTTGTGCCGACCTATTATCCTACTTAGATCAAACTAGCCTGCATACCCTACATTTTACTATTCTCCATGTGCCTATCCAAGAGTCGCTTAAAAGTCTCTAAAGTATCTGACTCCACCACCACTGCTGGCAGCGCATTCCACACGCCCATCACTCTCTGTGTAAAGAACCTACCTCTGACATGTCCCATATACCTTCCTCCAATCACCTTAAAATTATGCCCCCTTGTAATAGTCATTTCCGTCCTGGAAAAAAGTCTCTGACTATCCACTCTATCTATGCCTCTCATCATCTTGTACACCTCTATCAAGTCACCTCTCATCCTTCTTTGCTCCAATAGAAAAAGCCCTAGCTCCCTCAACCTTTCCTCATCAGACCTGCCCTCCAGTCCAGGCAGCATCCTGGTAAATCTCCTCTGCCCCCTCTCTAAAGCTTTCACATCTTTCCTGTAATGAGGTGACCAGAACTGAACACAATATTCCAAGTGTGGTCTAACCAAAGTTTTATAGAGTTGCAGCATAACCTCATGGCTATTAAACTCAATTCCCCTGCCGTAATGTTTCAAATCCAATATGACTTTTGTTTAGAACTCGACTTCATACTTAATGCTTTACCTCTTCTGAAGAAGAGTCAGCTCAGACTTGAAGCATTAACTCTGTTTATCTCTCTACAGATGCTTCCAAACCTGCTGAGATTTTCCAGCATTCTCTGTTTGTTTCCACTCACGCATCAGCCTTGTCTTTGCCGTGCTGTTTTGATTGTCCATTTTCAAATCCTCGCCAACACCCTAGATCATTCCACATTTTTTCATCCTCAGCTAATCCAATTTTTTTGCTGTGCATCTGTGAAATGCTTTTAAGGCATATTTTTCTAACAAGCATGCTATATAAATGCAATTTGTTGCTTTTGTAGACAGCATTTTAACTCAGGTTGATCCTGCTCAGCAATCGATACTGGATAGTTAACTCTGTGAGTATGGATGGGAGCCTCATCTACAGCTGAAACCTGGGGCATTAAAGTTGCAGATCGGTATGAACAAAACAGGGATTTAAACTACTCCACTTTAACCTTTCTTTTTAATGCTTCTTTCCTAGTGATTGAATGTGGTGAAAATTCCCTCACAAACTTCACTGCTCTTTGTTCTAGAATGTTGAAGATATAAACAAGCTCTCTGTATATGTTACAAAATCTATCACCTATCTTTCTTTTTTAATTTCTCTGTAAAGTGCACACATTTAGTGGGCACACATTTAAGTGTACGAAGTTCGGTTTTTAACAATTCATGTGCTCTCTGTAACTATTTATTACAACATGACTGCAAAAGTCCGATTAGCATCTTGTGAGATACTTAAATCTGAAAGGACTCAAATAAAATTGTACTCTATGTTTCATCATGCTAAGTGGTTCATTGTCTCAGAGCTTCTTATTCTTTTTCTGTATTTGTGCCAAACAGGAGCTATTGCAATGTGCGCCACACCTGAACAAATACTGGCAGGCAGGTAGTACAGTGACTGATTCAGGTCGTCTGTTCAGGGATAAATTAATACGAACAATTTAAACTCAGATTTTATAACAGTTGGAATGTTCCTTAAACATGGGAAAAAAAGTTACAACTATACATTCATGATGGAACATTCCCTCTGTCACTCAGAGTAGTAAATTTATAAACTCTTAACCTGTTCATGACTTCAGTATAAAAAATCTTACTCTAGATGTATAAGCCCTTTGCTCTGAGTGGAATCACCTTTGCTCACAAACAAAATCTTGGCTCACAAACAAAGTAGGTTGAAACCCAATTAAAATAATCATCCCCCATAAAGCCACATTCAGTTATTTGAAATCCAATGGAACAGGAAGAGCGCTTAATAATCCAAACTTCAGTTTTCCTTGAAAATCTGGAAAAATTTTCAGAATAGTTGAACAAAAGAACAAATTATGTAGATTACAAAGTTGATCAGCAACTCACCTTTGTATGTTGTGTTTGGCATGAGGTATTTTGGTGAAATCATTAAACTGAATGAGCCTCCCATTGTAGCATTTTCTATCATGCAAAGGTTGAGAGATCCAGATGATGCATACTGAAGAAACAGGCAAAGAAGCAGGGCTGACAATATTGAAGCCATTTCTCTCTTCTAGAGGCTCCTCTGGATTGATTCAGAGAAGAGTCAGCAGCAGCTTGAGTTCTGATGACTCTTGAGAGTCAGGTGCAGTTATATTGCAGAGGAAACACCTCCCCCCAGTTACGGAAACCACAGGTAATTTGAATAATAATGACTCTAACTGATGGCATTTTTCCAGCTCTGAGATTTTTTTTTCGAAATTTCTGAAGAAGGGTCTAGGCCCGAAATGTTAGCCTTCCTGCTCCTCTGATGCTGCTTGGCCTGCAGTGGTCATCCAGCTCTACACCTTGTTATCTCCTTGTTTCCTGTAATAACTCCACTTCTTTCACAAATTCTGGACAAACTAGGATCAAATTTGACTTTAGCAGTTGTCAAATGAATGTCAAGCCATTTTATGTTTCACCCAAGTTTCATTTCCATTGACTTAACTCACTGTCACCTGCAGCATTGTATTGTACGAAGCACACATTTCCCCACTGATATTTAAGACTTGATGTGATTTGGGAATACTTAGCTTTAAGGTATGAACACTAGGATCCCAAAGTAGTGAATTTGAATATTGTTCTCAGTGAATTGTTGAGGACAATACAAGAATTTACAAGAAAATCTTGGGGCAGGAGGAAAGAAAGAATGAAGGAAAGAATGAAGCAATTGGGAACACAAAGTAGAAAGAAGGATTGAAGGAATCAAAGAAAGAAAATGAAAGATAGAAAAAAGAAGGGAAAAAAGATTAGAAAGTAAGAAAAAATATCAGAAATAAAAGAAGGGTAGAAAGGAAAGAAACACAGAAAGAAGAAAAGTTAAAACCAAAACAAAACTGACATGTGCCTGTATAGAAGTTTTCACTGCCACATGGCTCAAAGTGCTTTTTGGCCAAAATCTCCTGTGAAATTTAGTCCCTTTCCTAAGAAACACTGCACTATACAAAATATTTTCAGACTCCACTAGAGGCAGAAACATTCATTTCCTGTGTTTCTTCCATGAAGGGAGAACCATCTATTTAATTCACTACGATTCACTTCAAGAAGAATGCCATTAACTGAAAAGCATTTCGAGATTATGAAGGTACTACATAAATGCAAATCTAACTTTTTGTTTCCTTTTAAATTGCCACTGTTAGTGAACACAGGTCCCTGAGATTTTCGTAGAGAATTGTTTTGTATGATGGCTTTAATTCCTTGCCAAATAGCTATTTGGATCATACAGCAATAAATCCGCCTGTATCCCCTTAAAGTTGAAGAAATGTTTAGGTAGGAAGCAGATGAGTCATGGAGAATTAAGAGAGCCATAGTATTGGTTTGGTGTTGATTTCCTTAAAGGCACATCTGATTCTAACTATATCTTTGAGCTCCATCCTGCCCAAGGAGGCAGCAGTGAGTTATTTATCTTTTTTTTTGTTATTCATTCACGGGATACGGGTGTCACTGGCTAGGCAGCATTTATTGCCCATCCCGAGTTACCAGAGGACAGTTAAAAGTCAACCACATTGCTATGGGTCTAGATTCTTAATTCCAGATATTTTTTGAATTCAAATTCCACCAGTTGCCATGGCAGGATTTGAACATGATTGCAAGAATGTTATCTGGGTCTCTGGATTAACAGTCCAGTGCTAATACCACAAGGTCATCACCTCCCCTTTGGAGTATCGGGAATGACTGGGGCAGCAGAGAGGGAAGGGAGGGGATCACAATTGTATCTCTCACTTTACTGACATTAGGGAATATCCTTCATCTCCCCTCCATTTATAATCAGATGTACTGAAGCAACAACTGCAAATCTCTTTCACTCCCTCAAAACCCCACACTCATTTTCATCCACTGATTTAATTTTCTTACCCTCTACTGTAGCAGCACAAATGAGTGCTGCTACATTTTTTTAAGAAGAGAAATGATGTTTTTTTCATACTTTTAGTGTTAATGTTCATAAAGCAAGAAAAAAAAGCAATATAACTATTACATGGCAACAGCAAGAAGGAGACCCAGTGGAACGTTGACTCTGATTTCTCTCCACAGACACTTTGATTTGATTTTTTGTCACGCATACCCGAGCACAGTGGAAAGTTTTGTTTGTGAGCAGTACAGGTACATCTTAATAAGCAAGGACATAGAGATCATTGGGTGAGAAAACTTGGACGGAGTAAGACATACAGCTTACACCACACAGGACATGTGCAAGGCAAGATCAACATTAACAAGATCAGCCAGAGCTGTTGAGCTTTTCCAGCAATTTCTGCTTTGTTTCTGATTTCCAGCATGCGCAGTTCTTTCACTTTTTATTTAGTATTTAACTCACTACCACCTTGAAGACGTTCTGATTCTCTGACAGGATTTCATTTCCAATCGTTTTTCTGGTCTACTGTCGTTATTTTTGCTGTTGCTCCTGGTGTTGAACAAGGTATTTGTGAAAGCTCGTTTCCACAGCCATATCACATTCCTCAGTGACTGCCTCCAGCTCGGACTCACCCATGTGGATTCCAACTCAAGTTCCATCTTTAGTGAGCAAATCAGTATGTAATATAATTTGGATAAATGTGAGGTTATTCACTTTGGGAGCAAAAACAAGAAGGCAGGTTACTACCTGAATGGCTGTAAATTGGGAGAGGGGAGTGTGCAGTGGGACCTGGGTGTCCTTGTGCACCAGTCACTGAAGGTAAACATGTAGGTGCAGCAGGCGGTAAAGAAGGCAAATGGTATGTTGGGGTTCATTGCGAGAGGTTTCGAGTACAGGACCAGGGATGTTTGTTGCAGTAATTCAGGGCCTTGGTGAGGCCACACCCAGAATATTGTGTGCAGTTTTGGTCTCCTTTTCTAAGGAAGGGTGCTCTTGCTCTCGAGGGAGCGCAGCGAAGGTTTACCAGGCTGATTCTAGGGATGGCAAGACTGACTTATGAGGAGAGATTGACTAGGTTAGATTTTTGCTGCAGTTCAGGCGAATGAGAGGGGATCTCACAGAGACTTATAAAATTCTAACAGGACTAGAGAGGGTAGATGCAGGGAGGATGTTCCTGATGGTGGGCGTGTCCAGAAGCAGGGATCACAGTATTCGGGGTAAACCATTTAGGACAGAGATGAGGAGACATTTCTTCACCCAGAGAGTGGTGAGCCTGTGGAATTCATTATCGCAGGAAAGTAGTTGATGCCAAAACATTGAATGTATTCAAGAGGCAACTAGATATAGCCCTTGGGGTGAATGGGGACAAAGGTTATGGGGAGAAAGCAGGATTAGGCTATTGAGTTGGATGATCAGCCATGATCGTGAAGAATGGTGGAGCAGGCTCGAAGGGCTGAATAGACTTCTCCTACTCCTACATTCTATGTTTAACTCAGTTGTACAGTTCCTTGTAGTCCCACTTTGATAGGTATTTTCTAATCAACCCATTCCAAGATGCTTGTATACATTTCTGGAGCAGGTGGGACTTGAACCCAAGCTTCCTGCTTCAGAGATAGTGACACTGCCAATGCACCACAAGAACCCTCAATTTCCATTTTATAGATATTTTCTAAAGAACCTGTTCAGAGATATTATTCACACCTCTGGAGCAAGTGGGACTTGTACTCATGTCTCAGTTGCTGTCTTATAATGATCCAATCAGTTAATAATCCTTAGAACCCTGTGTTCCCAGGAAGGGTCACTGACCTGAAACGTTAATTCTGATTTCTCTCCACAGATGCTGCCAGACCTGCTGAGCTGCTCTAGCAATTTCTGTTCTGAGGTGGGGGTTGGGAGATGAAGTGGAGTTAGAAGGGAGGGGAGGGGAAGAAGGTTCCAGAGGGCCATGGGTATCTCGGAGTTGTTGCATCTTGTGTTCCTAGATGCCTACAAGGAAAATAAAAGTTTCTTATTATCATGGCGAATGAGTCGGAGGATAAAGTGGAACTGGTGGGCAGTGCACTCTGAGCCAGCATGAAGTGGCGCTGTTGGAGAGAGAGGTCGAGTGTGTGCATATGACGATACATAGCACTGAGGGTGGATCTCAGGATGTGGTGAGAACAGCTCTCTGTGGAATTTTGAACATTGCGGAGATACCTGTGACCTTGGCGGACCAGATCATGCTGAAACATCTCTGCATTCTCATCAAAGTTCACCTTCCCACCCAACTTGGTATCATCTGCAAACTTTGAGATGTTACATTTTGTTCCCTTATCTAAATTATTAATATATATTGTGAATAGCTGGGGTCCCAGCACCAATCCTGTGGCACACCACGAGTTATTGCCTGCCAATTTGAAAAGGACCTATTAATCCTTACTGTTTGTTTCCTCTCTGCTGACCAGTTTTCTACGTATCTCAATACACTGTTTCCCCAATCCCATGTGCTTTAATTTTGCACAATAATCTCTTGTGTGGGACTTTGTCAAATGGTTTCTGAAAGTCCAAATACACCACATCAACTGGCTCCCCATTGTCAACTCTACTAGTTACATCTTCATAGCATTCCAACAGATTTTTCAGCATGATTTCCCCCTCATAAATCTATGCTGACGCTATCTGATCCTGCCATTGCTTTCTAAATGCTCCACAATAAAGACCTCGATAACACATTTGAGAATTTTCCCTACTACCAATGTTAGACTTACTGGTCTATAATTTGCTGTTTTCTCTCTACTTCCGTTTTTGAATATTGGAGTGACATTAGCCACCCTCCAATCTGCAGAGACTGTTTCAGAGTCTATAGAATCCTGGAAGATGGCCACCAATGCATCCACTATTTCTAAAGCCACTTCCTTAAGTACTCTGGAATGTAGATTACCAGGCCCTGGCAATTTATCCACCTTCAATCCCATCAATTTTCCCAGCACCATTTCTCTACCAATATTGATCTCCCTCAATTCTTCACTCTCACTAAATCTTGCATGCTCCAACATTTCTGGTATCTGACTTATGTCATCTTTTGTGAAGCCATAACCAAAGCATGTATTCAGGGCTCAGCCATTCCATCGTCCCCTATCATACATTACATCGTTTCTGTCTGTAGGTGACCTACATTTGTCTTCACCAATCTCTTTCTCTTCACGTACCTATAGAAACTCTTAGTGTCAGTTTTTATGCTCCATGCAAGCTTACTTTCGTAATGTATTTTCCCCTTCTTAATCCATCCCTTGGTCCTTCTTTGCTGAATTCTAAACTGTTCCCAATCCTCTGACATATTATTTTTCTTGGCCAATCTGTATGCTTCTTCCTTGGGTCGGATACTATCTCTAATTTCCTTTGGATTGGCCCTTTTACCCATTTTGCTTTTGCGACAGACAGGAATAAACAGTTGTTGCAGTTCCCCCATGCATTCCTTGACTGTTTACCATTGCCTATCCACTGTCATCCCTTTAAATGACTCTCCCCAATCTATCAGGGCCAGTTTACACCTTATAACTTCATAGTTTCCTTTATTAAGATTCAGCACCCTAGTCTCCGAATCAACAACCTCACTCTCCATCTTGATAAAAGATTCAATCATGTTATGTTCACTCATCCCCAAGGGGTCTCACACAGGTAGATTGGCAATGGTTCACTTCTCATTACTCAGTACCCAGTCTAAGGTGGCCTCCTCTCTGGTTGGTTCCTTCACATATTATTGGTCAAGAAAACCATCCCGTATACACTCCAGGAATTCTTTTTCTACTGCATTGTGGCTAATTTGATTTGCCCAAATTATGTGCAGGTTAAAATCACCCATGATCACCAATATTCCCTTGTCACATGCATCCCTACTTTCCTATTTAATGCCGTTCCCAACACCACCACTGCAGTTTGGGGGTCTATTTGTGACACCCGCTAATTTTTTTTACCCCTTGGCATTTTTCGACTCTACCCATACAGAATTCACATTGTCAGAGCTAATATTCTTTCTCACAATTGTGTTAATTTCCTATTTAACCAGCAATGCCACTCCATCACCTTTTCCATTTTGTCTGTCCTTCCTAAATATTGAATACTCTGGGACATTCAGTTCCCATCCCTGGTCACCCTGCAACCATGTCTATGTAATCCCAATTATATTGTATCTGTTTATGTCTGTCTGTGCGATTAATTCATCCATTTTATTGCAAATGCTCTGCATATGAAAGCACAAAGCCTTTAAGCTTGTCTTTTTAACATTTAGGAGCAGGAAAGCTGACGTTTCTGTTCGGGGCCCTTCTCCCGACCCGAAACGTCAGCTTTCCTGCTCCTGTGATGCTGCCTGACCTGCTGTGTTCCTCCAGCTCTACGCTGTGTTATCTCTGACTCCAGCATCAGCAGTTCTTACTATCTCTGAATGACTTATAACTCCACGGCGAAACCTCTTCGAGGGATGCCTACCTTGAAGAAGTTATCCTCCTCCCTGCGGAAAGACCTCAGTGGATCTCTCTCTCACTGCAATCTTTTTCTGAAGAAGGGTCCCGACCTGAAACGTCAGCTTTCCTGCTCCTCTGATGCTGCCTTCCCTGCTGTGTTCCTCCAGCTCCACACTGTGTTATCTCTGACTCCAGCATCGGCAGTTCTTACTATCTCTTTTTAACATTTGTTGTCTCACTGTTATTTCTCTAAATAGCCCTGTGTGAATTTTGTCCTTGATTTGTCTGCCTGTCACATTTCTTACTCCCTTTTCTACGTTTTATTTTTGTCCTTGCTCCCTCCTTCTCTGACTCCTTACATAGGTTCCTATCCCCCTGTTGTAAATAAACTATACTCTAAAGGAAGGCGTCCTGGTTCCTGTTTCACTGACTGACTTGACACGAATTGACACTAAAGAGTGTCTTAAAGTGAGGTTGAAATTCAAGCAGAGAAATATAGGGAGGGTATTCCAGAACTTGAGGCACAGATACTGTTGGTGAAGAAATAGGAATTGGAAATGTTCAAGAGGTTAAAATTAGATAAGTGCATGTATCTCCAGAGGGTTATTAAGTGGAAGAGATTATGTGGATGGGGAGGAGTGAAACTATGGAATGATCTGAAATTAAGGATGAGAATTTCGAAAAACAAGACTGCGAACCAATTTAGCTCAGGGATCAAAGGGAATTATATTCAGAAGCAGGCAGCAGAGGTTTGACTACCCTCAAATTTAACATGGAGAAAATGTGGAAGACTCAACCACAATGGCACAGAAATAGTTTAGCCTTTAGATTGTTGATAAATGAATGAGAGGTTCAGCAGCAGATTTGCTGAGCCAGGCTGAAGCTGGATGCTGTACCAGAGGTAGTCTTAGCGATGCTGTGAATATATAATTGGGTGCTCACGACAGTGTGAACTATAATATCAACGTTATATACCAAATAATGCCAGGGAGGAGGATGGAATCAGCAGAACGGGAACAAAGTTTGGATCACAGAATAAAAACAATGCCTTCAGTTTTCCCAATATTTAATGGGAGGATATTTCTGCCCATTTGGTTCTAGATGTTGGATAAGCTGTCTGATAATTTATCAACATTGGAGGAGTGGATTGAAATGGTTGTGGCTCTGCCATCAGTGCCCACCTGAAACCTAATCCCATGCCTGCAGATGACCTCGCCAAAGAACACATGTTGGTGAGAAAGGGAAGACAGCTAAGGATGGAACCAGCTGAGCAGAGCCCCTGCAAGCAGAGGACAATACAGTGTTGCAGGTGTGTGCTGTGGTTAACTGCACGAAAGGCAATAGACAGTGTAAGAAGGTGATTCACCCTTGTCGCAGTCACTTAGGATGTCATTTGTGACTTAAATTGTTGTTTTAGGTTCTGCAATATCCAAATTTGAAATTGGCCTTTCTGGTCACTCCAATGAGCTCTCATTTCTGAAATCATTCTAATCTTGGTGCCTTTGATAAAAATGGGAAAATACTTAGGAATTGAGAATCATAATGAACACAAGAATGGACCCAATGCCCTCTTGTGGGTACTTTTTGTACTGCGGCAATGCTATCACTAACAACATTGTGCAGGAAAAAACTGAATGATTTGATGTGAAATGACTTTTTAGTCTAACAACCTCATACATCCTGTCCCAGGATTCTTCTTCTTGGAGAAGAGAATATTAAGAGGATATTCAATGGAAATGTTCAAAATCATAGAGGCTTTATAAGTTCGCAACTGGCAGCAACAACCTTTCTATCAGGTCTCCTGGCACTCCATGGGGAACATTTAATTGAAGGGATTCCTCTAGTAGAGCAGAAGTACTGCTCCTGGGAGACACCCCAGCCCTGGGCTCATAGGCATCTGGAAGGAGCTGGAGGCCACGGTGGGGGTGACCTTTGAATAGGTCAGAGTGGCATTGTCTGACCAATTATTTCATTCTTGGTTTAGTCTGAAGGCAGTAGGGGGTCATTAATGTGAAGGTCGTTCATGGAATTTGAGTCTACAACCCCTTGAAGATTGCTTCATGATTGTGAAGATATCGAGCAACCTGTTTGTCACTGATCTTGATAGGTGAGTTCCATTTTTGAATTATTTGAACTTTGTCATAATTATACACAAAAGATAAAGTGGAATATGGTGAAAGATAATCAGAGCAAAATTATACCCACAGACTTGGGCATCTTTGTTTGCGGAGTAGAGTGATAATCTGAAGAGACATGGTCTGACTCATCATGTATTTGAATATAGAACTTATGAAAAAAAGAGCAGAAAAAGTCCCTTGAGTGTGCTCCAATATTCAATAAGGTTGTGGTTGATCTGTTTGTATTTTAAATTCTACATTTCTACCTAACTTAATGATCCTGATTTCATTCCTCAGGATAGTGTCCCAGGCCCAACCATCATCAACAGCTTCATCAATGACATTTCCACCATCATAAGTTCAAACTCTGAGGATTTTCACTGATAATTGAACAATGTTCAGCACCATTCACAACCCCTCAGATACTGAAATAGTCCGTGACCAAATGCAGCAAGACTCGGACAACAACACTGGCAAGTAACATTTGTGCCAGTTAAATGCCAGGCAATGACCATGTCTAACAAAAGAGAATCTATTCATTATCCCTTGACATTCAATGGCAATACCATCACTAAATGCCCCACTATCAACATCCTGGCAAGAATAAGTAACCAGAAACTGAACTAGCTCAACCATATAAATAAAATGGCTTCAAGAGTAGGTCACAGCTTAGAAATCCTGGAGCGAGTTACTTGCCTCCTGACTGCAAAATGTGCCCATCATCTACAAGCCACAGCTCAGGACTGTGATGGAATACTCTTCACTTGCCTGGGTGAGTGCAGCTGTAACAACACTCAAGAAGCTTGTCAGCATCCAGGACAAAAAAGCCCATTTGATTGGCATCACATCCACAAACATCCTCTCTCTATCACAGATGGTCAGTAGATGCAGTGTGTACCATCTACAAGATGAATAAAAAAGAACTCTGTTTTTACAACATGCCAAAGTGAACAACTTCACATTTTTAAAAATTATACTCCATATGTCAGATTTGTGCCCATTCACTCAACCCAACATTTTTGCAACATCCTATGCCTTCTTCACAATGTACTTGCCTATTTCATGTCATCTGCAAATTTCACTACTATGTCTTTGCTTCCCTTATCTAAGTCCTTGATGTAAATGTATAACGGTGGAGCTCCAACACAGACCTCTACAGGATTTCATGTTACATCCTGCTAATCAAACAAAGACTCATTTACATATTCTCTGTTTTATGCCAGCCAACCATTCTTTTATTCATGCTATTATGTTAACCCCTACACCATCAGCTTTTAATTTCTGTAATAACAGAATTTGATCTGGCACCTTATCTAGTGCTTTCTGGAAATCCAAGTACACCAAGTTTATTGACTTCCCTTTATCCACTGTGCAAATCACTCCTTCAAAGCACATGAACAGTCCGGTTAAACTTGATTTCCCTTTGCTGAAACAATGCTGACACTTCAGATTACCTTGCCTATCTGAAAAAAAACAGTAAAAGCTGGAGAAACTCAGCAGGACTAGCAGCATCTGTGGAGAGAAAGCAGAGGTAATGTTTCTAATCCAGTGACTCTTCTTCAGCACCCTCAGTGAACACAAAACTCAGCTTTCTTTCTACAGATGTTGCCAGACCAGCTGAGCTTCTCTGGCAATTTCTGTTTTTGTTTGGTAAAAACATAAAGTTAACTGGCCTATTGTTTCCTGTTTTCTGCCTCTCTCCCTTCTTTTTTAGAGGAGATATGTCTACTACTTTCCAATCTGATGGAACCCTTCCTGAATCGAGGGAATTTGAAAAATGAACATCAACGCATCTACACCTTCAATACAAATTTCTTTTAAGACCCTAGGTTGAAGTCCATCTGGACCCAGAGACTTGTCAGATCATAGCTCCATCATTTTGCTCAGTATGACTTCCCTCATGATTGCAATTGCATTGAATACCTTCCCCCTCAATTTACAGAGAACGCTGGAATGCTTTTTTGTCTCCTCTGTAGTGAGACAAAGCTAATGGGCCAAATGGCCTTCTGCTATGTGATATGAATCTAGGACATCATTAGTGAGTAGGAACAGATGCTAAAAATGGCAGTGGACTGTCTGCCTTCGAAGAGACAACCCACCTCAGGCTCTATACAGCTGGATATAGTTGATTCACTTGATGTTCTGTCACTGAAGTTCTGAAGTTCTTGAATAGCTGGAACAGGGCTTCAAAATGGACTCACCATGACTGCAGAGACATTGTTGGCCAAGACTGTTGCCTACCCCTAACTGACCTCGAGCTGAGTGGCTTGTGAGACCAGCTAAAAGTCAATCATATTGATGTGGTTCTAGAAGCACATATAGGCCAGACCAGGTAAGGATAGCAGGCTTCCTTCCCTAATGGGATTAGTGAAATAGGTGTTTTTTTTTAAAACTAGCCAATGACAGTTTCACAGACACAGAGTGGTAGGGGCATGGAATGCATTGCCGGAGAGGGTAGTGGAGTTGGCCTCATTAGGGGCATTTAAGCGGCTATTAGACAGGCATATGGATGATAGTATAAGGTAGCGGTGGAGGTTAGATAGGCCTTAGGTTTAGGGTAAAGTTTGGCACAACATCATGGGCTGAAGGGCCTCTACTGTGCTGTACTGTTCTATGTTCTATGTTCTCTGTTCTAGTTTCATTCTCACCATTACTGAGACTATTTCAGATTTATTTATTGAATTTAAATTCGATTCAACTCAGGTGACTTGGTGGGATTTGAACTCACGTCACCTTATGCCATCATGTCTGCTACCTTAAATATGTGGATATATATCTTGACTTTGGCCTTACAAAGAAGAGCCATACTGGTATGCACCAACCTATATCTGAGTGCAGTGTTGGCAGTATCATAAAGTCATAGAGATCCACAGAATCCACAGAAAAAGGCCCTTTGCCCCATTATGTCCACCACTTGACTCATAGTCTTGTATGCCTTGGCATCACAAGTGCACATCTAAATCTAAAATTTTACAAAGATTTCTGCCTCACCATCTTTATAGGTAGTGGGTTTCAGATTCCCACCATCCTCTGGGTGAAAAAGC